GAGGGCAGATCTGAGTCTAAGGAGGGTACAGAAGGTGGGGGTACAGGAGGGGGTGGGGGATTTGTCAATTGTGCTCTCCTTGAACTTCCTCTGCCTCCTTTTTTCTTGCTACTTTGTTGACTTTCTTGAGATCTGCTCTTTGTCTTGGCACCATTCCCTGCAAAAACATTAGCACCCAAATAGATGGCTTTGTTGAGTAAGCTGGTGAAACAACTGTGTGATTAAAAACCTGGCAGTGTTTGGTGGCATTAGGTGAAATTTTTTTGATATAAGAATGAATAATGCCAAGAAACTTATACATTAGTATAAATTCTGATGATCATAATTATTCTGGTTTCAATTTTTTTAAACAATCTGATTAATTCTAAACATTTGAGCTAAACAGGTACCCATCTTAGCTCTCTTGAAATTCAATAACAAACACTCAACCTGAGAGTAGAATGTTGTTTTTGTGTATTGCCTTAGGTGACTGTCAGAACTGACTGCATTTCCTTTAAACTCATTTTATTCAGGTGTTTCTCTAACAGAAATGTCAAAATTTCACTCCACTCTCATTTTGAACATCAGAGCTTGAGACACAAGAACTAACATGCATAACAATTAAGGTCATCTTTAACCAACCAGAGTGCGTGCATCTCTTTGATAACCAAAGTTATTTTACTGAAGTCTAATAACTCATGCTTGATAATTTCAGTAGGTTTCAAGTATTCACCTAAATTATCCAGACTGTGAAAATCAATTGGCATGCCCTCATAGTCATATGTTTCATGTTCCTCTTTTTCAGCTGGAGCCACTATTTTAGGTACCTTTTTCCTCGACTTGTTGGAACCAAGAGCGCCTATCTTAAGACGAGCCACTTTTTCTTTGTGAGCTTCGACACTCTAAATGCAAAACAATGAATATTTCCTACTTGTCATTCATTGATATAAAAATTTCATATTGAGTTGCCCCTTTGTCCCCAGAGAGTGACTAGCATCTAAATTCTCCTTACAATATCACCCCTGAATCACATATGAAGATCATGAGAATAAACAAAATGATCACCAACTAAAGCTTTTGATTGTTAAGCAAATTCTCCTTGTCAGCACCTTAAGAAATGTATAGAGAACAGTATGGAGAATATGCATACCAGTGTTTGGGTTTAAGGTTCTATAAAGAGATCTTTATCTATTAACCTGTAAGAATGACCAATTAGTAATTTCTCCTAACATATTAATGCACTGTGAGCGAAAAAAGTTGTAGGAAGAGAGAAAAATATCAATTCTGAAGACATTGGTTGATTTAATGCTAAATTCTCACAGCTGAAATATGATAAATATAAGATTGATGGGAGGGAGAATTTCTATTTAGATCTATGGATAGAATGGGTTTATTAAAGCCATCAAAACGTGACAATGATGTCAGACTCGCAAAGAGTGGAGTTCTGTCAATATTTGGTTAAGGAAGAAAATTAGAATCGCTGAAAGCATTTTTAAGAAATGTTTATTCAAGATCAGAGAACATTAATTGCTCTTGAAGGAATATTTATATTTGCTTCAGAAAAAGGGTCGCGATTTCTCTACATCGCAATCAAAATCATTGTTTTACTCCCAAAAGGATTTGTTTTCGAAAAGCTGAGAACGAAGCCGGGCCCCGGAAATGACTAATTACTTCTCTCGATACGACAACGTTAGAACCCCCATAATTATTATTTAATATTAGTAGTTCTCACATGCTTCGTAGGAAGTAATAATTTGAAGGAATAGTTGTGTAAAGCTTTAAGAGAAACTTTCGTGCGCGCGCGTGGAATTCTAAAAGAATCACACACAAACCAACCTGTCCAAAGAGATGAACCGTTGCCTCCAGTCCCTCCACCTTTAAAGCTTGATTATCCATCAAATTCAACATGCTGAGGGCTAAAGAGTTTATCTGATAAGCCACGCTTGCTAGCGACTGTGTAGCGAACTTTTTCGTCTCTTCCAGAACAGCCCTTGTTTCTTCGAAAGCCTTTGCTTTATCTGAGCCCGGTAAAGCGTGATGCTTGTTTGCGTCTCGATATTTCTGTTCGCAGTAAGCTGCGACTTTGGCCAGATTTTCGTGCCCATCTTTCAAAGCCTGTCGCCCATCAGGAATTTCTTTCTCCATAAGAGACTGAATCAAGCTGTCTATCTCTTCCATTTTGGACTGCAGGACTTAACTTCCGTGGAATCTGCGTTAATTCACAACTAATTTCCTCAGAAAAAAGGAATTTCCTCCCCCACACGGAAAGACACTGGAGCTGTCTGTCTATGTCTCGTTCATGATATGCCAGAGAAAATATAAGAGTGTTGGCACTGTGATACAATCTTTAAAAGAAAAGGAGATTTGTTCTTGCCGATTAATAAAATATAGTCAAAATTCTAAGATATCATAGTAGCGTCGACAGTAGAAGAGATTAACAAATTGATGTATACAGCTAGCAGCTGTATCAATTACCCTTGTGAGAAACATGAGTTGCCACCACGTATGAAAATTAAACCCGCCACATGACCTTCGACCTTCTAAATATGAAACTTGAATGAATAAAGCAGGCGGAAAATAAAAATTCGAATACACAAATCTAACATTTGGTGCTGAATTTTTAACAAAATAAATAAATTTTACAATTTATATAAGGTAATAAGACCCATGCGTGATTTCCACATAGGCCAGAGAGGGTATAGTAATTCTGCAGTTGGAACCAAATTTCCAGAAATGAATTGCCTTGTTGTGAATCAGATAATTTTCCAGCTTTGAGTCTCTCAAGTACTCTGTCTTTGCCCTTCTGAAATTGAATACTTCACTGTAAGAGCACCCAAAGGGTGCTCTTCAGTCTGCGCTTACATAAGGTGTTGTGGCTTCCGCCGTGTAGTTTTGTCACACATTACGTTCCCTCACTACCGAGTACCAACTATAGTCACCCTGACATTGCGTGACAGAAAGGAAGGTTGGTTGGAAAACTCAACATAGTTTAATTTGCGGATTCTTCGAGACTATATTTAACAAAGAATTAGTTTTGCCTTCATACGATGTTATGTAACAGCCCTTGCGAACTTGATAGACCGGTCAATATTTTCACCTGGGAGGGGGTAGGAGGATTTTGGGGAGTCCCACAATATTCTTGGAGAACAGAGGGAAGATTAGTCGTCTTTGACATAGTGTAAAGCGAAACTTAAGAAAATGGACCGTCACTTTGGGGAGATCATTAGAATACTACAAAGCTTCTTGTAGGGATCAGGAAAATTTATTGCGACACAACCAAAATTCTCCAAACCCCTTCCCCCAGATGATAAAAAAATAAATGGTAGATTACGAGGCTTCGCTGGTCTGAAAAATCAATATTATGGAAAAAAAAAACGACAACAACAACGAACAACTCTGAAATGTCTTCTTATAAAAACTAACAAACTTGAAAAAGAAATGACAAAATGTTGTAATCACAGGGATTATTTCCGCGGAGGAAACGTGTCAGCATTGCCTCATACCGTTTCAGATCGCTAACCGCATTACGATGATATCGGCTTTTTTTGTTCAGTTTAATTTTATTCCATCTGCAGCGAACCTTGAAGGATATTATGCATATGAATAGAGAGCACATAAACATGCCGGAACACAACGCTTTTGAAAAATTCCTAAAAGTTTCTCCGGATTCTTCATTACCCACAAGATCCCTTGCCAAGAGGCATAAGGCATTGACATCTATCTTAACCCCACTCTCTCCCATTGGTGTTATGGGACATCTCTTTTCATCGTGTACTGTTACACTATTTTAACCTCGCTCTTTTCTTTCACATTTGGGCTCAACACTCCCATTGTCTTTTCCTGATGAGGTTGAGTTCTTCGCAAAACGAGCTGGAAGCTACAAAGAAAGTTTTCGAGTCCCTAGAGTTACAAATCAGATGCGAGTTTGCACTTATCTCAACAGTGGGTCTAATGATTACACACGCGAGGACCGGAGCGCGGGAGAAACCGCCTCGCTTGTTTCCTCTCTTAAGCATGCTTAACAAAGTCACCTCGCAAACTAAGTTCAGGTTAATCAGATTTTTTTTAATTTACCTGTAGCGTACACAGGAATAGGTTTATTATTTATAGGTTAATAAAATTAATAGGTCGAGCGATGAATCACAAATCTAGCTGAGTACAACTGATGGAACAATAACGAAACTACTCATCATAGCTGAACAAAACAGCATTGGATCACTATCTACGTAACGAGCTGTTGACAAGAGGGCTACAAAGCAAAGGAAAGAATATAACTATAAAAAGCATTTTCTTCTCTGCCAGTATACAAGTTAACCCTTTACACACTAAGACCAATACTCATATTCTCCATACTCTTTTCTAGACATTTCCTTTGATTCTGAAAAGGAGAATTTGTTTAACAATCAAAGCTTCTTAAGTTGGCAATTATTTCCTTAATTCTCGTGATCTTTAAAAAATGATTTTGCAGTATTATGGTGAGGAGAAATTTAACACTGGTCATTTTTAAGGCTTAGTTAACTAAACTGGCAACTATCATCAGTCAAAACGTACAAGGGATACAGTCAATTACTTAAATGCCCTGAGCAACCAAATTATTACATTACAAATTATGCCCTAAATACAGCTTATATCGACTCAATATACTATTTACATTTATTTAATTCTGTTCGATAACACCGACAACGTATGCAGTTTCACTTTCACTTTCACAAGCATTACTGCTGCTGAAGCTGTTTTCTCTTGAAGCTACTTAGTAAATATTTATAGAAGGTAAAGTACCACGATTCTCGAGAAATCAGACCCACTTTTAGAATACTACCCACCCTTTATTCCCAGACCTAATAAGTAAGAACAGACACTCCTTTCCAAAAGTATTCAGTTGCAAATCGAGGCCTGAATAAGATCACCAGGTTTGCCAGATGACATTTTTGTAACAGTCTTTCTGACTGTTTCTTGTTATCTTCACAACACCCACAGAACCAGAAAGTTGCAAGTGTGTTGGGTGAGACAATGATATTTGCAGGGAGAGGCTTTCTACCTGCCAAACACATCTTGAGATGCTGTGTAGCCCAAGTGGGCCATCCTTGTAATGGAGATGGCTAAAGATGATTAATGTTGTGATCTGCTCATAAAGAAAGCAATTGTGGCATTCATGACTACTAAGGTTATTACCTATTCTTATTTATATACTAGTCCACATGATATCTTTATCATGGGCAGCTGTTCTGAGGTTGACATCTTCAAATATTGCACAGATATGTTTCAGATCCGTGTTCCAGCCAAAAATTACTCAAGACTTCAAAATCTCATTATGTCAAATTAATAGAGATGTGTATGCCATGATTGGTGAGAATTGAGATATAATGCAAATGGCCTTTACCTTAAATTCATGCACACATGCTTTGTTAAAGACTGTTACTAATTAAAGACTTTTCACTAATAGTAAAGATGCATGAAATAAACACTGCTGCCACGTCAAGTTCTCCTTGTGCTTCACAAGGAAATAATGGACAGTTTAGAAACAGAATTAAACAGTCTCCAAAGTTGCACAGTTTTTCCATGCACACCTTCAATTTTTGCTTTGTTCTTTTGGAGTTATACAAGGCACTTTGAAACAAAATTGATAGTCATGACCTCCTTACATGCCTACATATTAACTAAAAAATTCACTTCAACAATTTACTCAATTAAACCACTTCCTATAAGCCATCTCTTATAAAAGCCCACCTATGGATCATCGCATAGAGTGCAGAAACTTGAATTTGTTTCTACAATATTCACCTCAGTATTTGCTTACACTGGAGTAAATTTTTTTCCCTTAATTTTGTGGTTAGTCTCACCATGAACAAAGGAATTTCCCCCAAAGGCTACCCCTGAAGAAAATTCTACACAGTAGTGTTCACAGGGCAAAACACTGTTTACACCATTTGCCCTTTTAGTGACACATAAAAGTAATCACTCTTAAAGAACAGACAGATTACAGAACTAGTGTTGAGGAGCTTTAACACAGACATTTTTGAGGGGTCAATGGCAACTAAAAGTTGAGGGTTTTTTTCCCTTGCACAAGCTGCAGATTGTTTATCTATTTATTTTTGGCAGGGGTTATGTTCAAACTGCTAAGACTAGGCCTCTCCAACTGATTTATTAATTAAAAAAGCAAGCCATGAGAAGTTTGCATTCTCCTTCCACTTATATCCACATTGCCAAAAATATCTGTGCTGAAGTTCCCAACTTTCAACATGCAATTTTTTTTATATGACTGATAAAACAACTTAAGGGATTAGTGAAAATTACATGCTGGATACAACTGATATATTTGAGATTCACACAGTTATTCAAGTCCAGAGCTAAAAACTTCCATTTTAAAGAAGTTCAGGTCAGATACCCTGATTGTGTCAGTGATACAAATGGTGATGGTTGAGTCACAAAAAACAATTAGGACAAAAAAAAGTTGTCATGACTACAATGGACAAAGTCACACTTTACTGAATGTATATGCAATGATTAATTATCAATTAGCAAGCTTTTCAATGAAACCACCTTGAAGTTGGTTGTGTAAATTGCATGGCTAGTATATACACCTGTAGTTTCTCAGAAGAGTTGTTTGAGTGCTCTGTTTGAATCTATCTATTGATGTTTCCTCTCAGTTTGGAGTGATGAAATGTTTTATATCTAATTCACACACCCCTTAAAAAAAACTTGATTTATGTGGGTTAAATGTAATAAAATAAGAAATCATTCACCTCAGTTTCAAATAACATACTCATTATGTAGTACAAAAACTAATAACAAAAGAAATTTACTGGTTAATTCTCTTTGAAGTTATATCCAAATACTGCCAAGTTTGCCCAAGCTCATAAGTCACACTAGGCAATTCATTTTAAAGAAAATTTAATTGTTTTCATGTGAATGGGAAAAGCTGGATCATAACAAAAGATCATTTTTTTTTGTTCCTAGTTTATCTTCTCTTTTTTGGATATCCTGGCCTAATAATCGTTACACTTTTTGCCTTCTTTAGGCCATCATGGTTGCCTTGAACAACATCAGAGTCATTGCAAGGTGCAGCAACATCGACATGCTCAGATCTGATTTTCCATGATTGACAAATTCATTGTGGAGAAAAAAATTTGTGATTGGCAGCATGAGCTCAACCAGGAATATGGTGGCCATTGCTTACTACTATCAAACTATGAAAAAAGCAGCTAGGCCTTCCATGCTATGAACAACTCATAACCAGTTGTGCTGCAATCCTCAGAGTTAAAAGTAATTGTATAGTTTTTCATCTAAACAGTACCCTGTTTTCCCACACCCCCCCTAAACTAACCAACCTCTGAATGCAATGGTTTGACCATTATCTAATGTTGTCCACATTACTACAACTTATACTGCTCTTAATTAGCTCAAAGCTACTGATCATTATTATCATTGCAAGTGCTAATTACTTCTTAAAAGTACCTGAAAATATACCAAAACAACTCAATCACTGAAATGGCCATTAACATGCTCATCCATGTCAACACTTGGAGGCAAAAGAGCCTTACAAACCGGACATTGTGACACTTCTGGTTCCAGAACAGAAGGTGCAGAGGCTGCAGTCAGTGCAGGGGCACTTGGAGGAGGGGAAGTTGGATGCTGGGGCTCTGATGCAGAAAGGGGCATCTGAGTAGGGTACTGAGTGGGGTATTGAGTAGGGTACTGAGTAGGGTATGGGATAGGGACCTGAGGAGGGACCTGAGAAGGGACATGAGGAGAAGCCTGAGGAGGAACTGCAACTGGAGAGCTTTGAGGCCTTGGTTCGGGTTGGTGTTGGACGAAAACCCAAGGCTGAGGGGTGCCTGGAACTGGCGCTGAAGGAACAAGACGACTGATGATTTCATGAAAGGGTCCACGCTTTGGGAAGTTGGTAGAAACTGTGGAAGGTAACATAACAAAGAAAGGTCTTTGTATAAACATTGTCACAAGGATATGAAGTAAGGCTGGAAGAAACCTATGTTAGAGTGGCCATGGCCTAGTACTGTACTGAAAAGTTTTGCAGGTTGTTGTACATAGAGTTCTTTGTTGTCTTTGCAATTCATTACTTACTTTGTTATAAAATGATTATGCATGGAAAAATGACACAAGATTTTGTGGATTCATCAGGCTAATACATTTGGTTGTCTTGGTTGTCCCAAAAAAAAAAAAAAAAAAGATGGACTTGACATTATTTAGCAACATCAACACCAATGCATTGAAGAAAAGCACAATCAGGAAATTTTCACCTGAAATTTTTACCTGAAATTTTTAATAGAATTGGTCACAATAAACCAGTTTTTCTTTTGAATCTACTTCTGCATTTTTCAATTACCTTTCCATGAACTCAAACCAGAATAACTTAGAACTGTTTTGATGAAGATGTACACTAAGTCACACAAAATACCTTTGCACCCTAACATCAGAATGCATATTCTCCATACTGTTATCTATGTTTCCTAGGTGCTGACTAAAGAATCTATTTAAAAATCAAGAGCTTCTTTAGTTGGTGATCAGTTCATTTATTCCTGTGGCCTCATTGTTTGATTCAGGGATGATACTGTAACAAGATATGATATGCTAGTCAGTCTAAAGGGTTGAAGGGTTGAATTGTGATAATACCTGATGTAGGAGTTTGTTCTCCTGCTGCTTGAGGTTGTGGTTGTTCTGTGGTTACCTCTGTGTCTTCAGATCTATTTTCCATCAGTCTGGATTCTGCTTCTACATAGAGGTCAACTTCTTTTTTCCATCTTTCCACTTCTCTTGAGAGCTCTTTGTTCTTCAGAACAAGCTTCTTCTCACTGGCCTCAAGTTCCTGGATCTTCATTCTTGCCTCCTCACCAAGTGTCTCTCTCTCTGCCTGTTCTTTGGAGAGTGCCTCTTGTGTGCTTTGAAGATTCTCTGCAGCATTTTGTATCTCTTCATCCTTCCTTTTCAATTCCCCTTGTAGGTTAACTATCTCTTCGATGACAATTTGTTTTTCCAGTTTTTCATCTTCCAAGATTCTCTCCAACTCAGCCACTTTTGCAAGCAGTTCTTGTACAACTGGGATTTGCTCAATCTGGTTGGTTTTCTGCAGCTCTGAACATTCAATTCCTGGAACTTGAACTTTCAACTCAGAAATCTCCAACATCAACTGGTTGAAAGAAAATTACAATTGATAAAATAACTCAAAGGTTAAGGATGATCTTCCCTGATATTGTTCTTTTCACCAAGAGGACTGAGGACTCTAATTCAGCATTTACCCTTTACACTCTAACATCAGGATACATACTCTATACATCATAATGTTTTTCATACAGTACTAATAAGGAGGACTTGTTTATAGATAAAGAATGTATTTCACTGGCAATCATTTCCTTTATTTTTATGACCCCACTAATATTGCAAGGGGAAACTTATAACTAAACTAGGATAGCAATAAAACAAACTTAAAAAATAAGACAGTATACTTTTGAATAGGAAGTAAAGAGAACATTACACTTTGCTCAGACAATATATTCATTGATGTGACAGTTAAATGGGAAAAAAAACCCTGCCTTAAAAGCTACTAATCAAAAGGATGCTTATCATGTAATCTAGTAAGATGTATGTCTATCTCAGGAATAACTGAACAAAGGTCACAGTGGGTAAATGACGTCACATTATTTCAGCCTGCTTGTGAGATATGAGATCATCAGCAAAAAATAGGAACCATCCTCTTATAAATAACAGTTGTAGTAATCACTAGTCTTTCCATTCTATTTAAAAATCAGTTTAAAGTAGATAAGAAAAAATTGATTTGTCAACATTTCTGAGAGTCTGGCTTAGAATTCTCTCTAACCAAATACTACATGAGGATTCTTGATCTTTCAGAATTAAAGATGAATTCTTGTTGTGTGAGAAAAGCAAAATAATAGTTTCCTTCTTCTTAGGGGCTAAACCTAGATTTAAATCTGTTGATTAAAGCTTATTTAGCAAAAACATTTTGCTGAGTCAACAACAAATTAAATTACTCTTACATCACTTGCCACCAATGAGTGAACAGAACCTTTATCAATAATTTAAACACCCACTCAATTTGTCAACATGTGTTCATTTCTAACCTTAACTTTGAACACCTTTAAAATATTATTCCTTTGAAACCATCTCATCTTAAATTTTTCTTTTGCCTATCACTTGTAAAAATTATTCAGAACTGTTAGTTTATTTAGGGAAATATTAAATAGACTTCTTATCACTTGGTTTACACAGGTCTTGCATATTAAGGAATTCTTCCACTCTACAGTTAGTGAGGAGAAATTTGTTATCAATAATATTGGTGAGAACAACAACAACATACCTGATGTATTTGCTCATTCTTCTGTGACACTGTATTTTTTTCTCTCTCTAATGCTTTTCTTTCCTCCTCCAAAGCCTTCTGCAGCATGGTAACCTGAGTCTGCATCTCTGGTGGTGAGTTATCTTCTGACAATTGCACTGTTGAGCCCTTCATTAGTTTGTTCAACTGTGCTTGCAATCTGTGGCACTCCACAAATTTTCCCTTGAATGCTTCTTCTCCCATCTTGAGTCTCATGCGCAAATCTTCATTGGTTGCCCTCAGTTCTTCGAGTTGAAGACGCAGGTCATCTGATGGGACACTTCCTTGGAAACTTGCAATGGTCCTCTTAAGCTCATTTCTTTCCCTCCACATTTCATCCATCTCCTTTTTTACTTTCAAGTATTTCTTTTCCAGATGAGAGTGAGCAGTCTTGAGTGCATGCATGGAAGCAGCCGAGTTTCTGGTTGATTGCACACTTGCCCCTTGAGTATCTGATAATGTTGTCTGGAGAGTCTCCTTATCTATCTTTAGTGCACTGACTTCAGCACTGACAGAACTTAGTTTGACTGAAGTTATTTGGGCCTTCTCCTCAGCAGATTGCAGCTGCTTCTTGCAGTGATCCAGCTCTTCACACAGCCCCCTCATTTCGGCATTTTTTCCCTCGAGCTGCTGACTCAGCTCCATGTTGGCCTCCAGCTGCTTTTGTACTTGAGCCTGGAGACTGGCTAGGTTGCGATCAGACTGAGAACACAGGGATTGATTTAAGGCCTTCTCTCCTTCCAGTTGGTCATGCAGTGCCCTGATTACAGACTCGTAGTCTTCCTCCAAAGCAGTAGCCTTGCCCGTTTCCTGAGCAAGCTGGGAGTTAGCATCTTCCAGTTCACACTCAAGTTGATGGATGAGCTCTTGCTTTTCTTTTACATCTCCTTGAAGCTTTTCCATTGTGTTGCCTAGCAACTCTGCTTCATGTGTTGCATCCCTTAATATTTCTGCTTTGGCTCCTTCCACTTCCTTAATCATTTGCTTGCAGTTTCCAACTTCCTCTCTTGCTCTTTCCAGTTCAGTTTGTTTATTCTTCAACTCAACATTCAATTCTCGCACTTTTTTGGTCAGACGCTCAGAATCTTCTTCAAGTTTTCTCTTAAGGACACTGTTCTCCTCTGTCATCTGTAACAGCTTCTCATCTAGTCTTCCATTTGCACTGTTAGCTTTCTCCAATTTCTCCTTTAATTCTGTGCATTCAGACTTTGCCCTTGTTTTGAACTCTGTCAAACGAGCCTTCAATGCATTAATTTCTTCATCTTTGTTTTTCAAGTCGTTCTGTAGTTTTTCAATCATCTGGCGATCGGCGGTCATACTCTCTAAGTATTGTTTCCTCTCCACTTCTAATTTTTCCGTGTTTTTCTCCACTTGAGAGCTCTGCGCACGTTCTTCCTCGACAATCTTCGTCAATTCCACAATCTTCCTGTTTGAATTTTCCTCTATTGTCTTCAGATCGTTGATTGTACTTTCAAGCGCTCTGTTCCTTTCTTGCGCTTCTTCCAAAGCGATGTTGGTCTGAGCATAAGCTTGCTCCAAGCTTGACGCTTTTTTCTCGATTTCTTTCAAACCGGATGTCAAATCTGCTTTCTGCAACTC